TGCTGTTGTTGTTGCTTTAAAGATCTGCAGTTTATTCATGTGGATGAATGCATTTATGGATGAACTTATTAAAAAAATGACTTGGCCTGAAAATATACCGAGGTGTGCTTCCCTGATCCATAGCAAAAGATTCGAAAGAATGTCTACGCAAACTGTATTACTGGGCTGATCAAAGTTCCCGTGGAGTCCATTTCTAGAGAAAAACAAATACGTTGAAGAATCCCAGGCAATGATGTTAAGATTAGTCCTGTACTTGGTTGGCTCATGTTGTTCCGGTTGGAGAAATTCTAAGAAACGTACTCCAAATGTAATTTTTCCAAATTCTGAGTTGTAACGTCTAGCGGATGCAATGTCAATAAGCAAGAGAACTTACCCTGAGTTTTAGTTTGAACTTTACGTGAGCTGTCCAAGGTACTGAACTCCATCTTCAAAACAGGTTCAGTGTCTATAGGTTCTTTAACATTTGAACTAGAAGCCAGTGTGGCTTCTCTTCCCTGCTGACATGCAAGCCACCAGTCACTCCAGCTTCTGATCAAGAATTACTAGCCACCATCACCAGCCCAGTTACACACTGATGAGGTCTAATGGCAGCTGACCTTTTTTTTAAAAAAAAAAGACAGTTCAGTTTCTTGATGTTCAAGTTCAAGTTCTAAACCTTGGGTCCCTAAATGTTCTTGGAATAAAACTCACAGAAGCCTTCACCACTAGCTGTACTGGCCAGGGTTTCTGGCAGTTGTCTTTTGTCACCCAATTCCTAGGGAAGGCCATTGATGCTACACTTTCAGCATTTCTGGGAGTGGAAGATTAAATGCATCCAACTTGGGATGATAGCTTGTTCACCTTCTCTTTTAGAAGGTAGCTAAAAATGGATGTTTCCTGTTGCTTTCAGACTCTCAATGCACTATGCAGGTTCCTGCCAGCTCTTTTGCAACAGCATATTCTACACCAGTATTACAACTCAAATGTGTTTCCTTTTCTGCTCAAAGGCTTGCTAAGTTGGACATCTAAGCCACAGAGATTTCAGAAACTCATGTGAGGTCACCTCCATCAACATCTCCCTGTCAAAGGTGATCCTCTAGATGTTGCTGAACGAAGGTCACTGTCCTTACTGATAACTAGCATTACTGGCTAGACCTGGTATGATGTTGAGGTCAACATCAAGAGGTCTATATTTCCCTGCCCCATTAAAAAAAAAAGATGAAATGATAATGTTGATGAATAGAATCAATCTATATTTCCCTGCCCCATTAAAAAAAAAGATGAAATGAGAATGGAAACAGGTCCAAGTCACTCAAAAGCATGAATGCAAAGCTGTACTTCTCCTACTTCCCTGTTTACTCGTTTCTTTCATATGTGCAATTAATTTAGGAGGATTTGTTGTCTGATGTTCACTGAAAAGATAACATAAGGGAGGTGGTATCTGTTCCCAGAGGCTAATAGAACAGTCACTTCCCCACCTTGGATCCCCAGATGTTCTTCTTGCATGACACTCCCAGAAGCTATTTGTGCTAGCCAGGGTTTCTTGGAGTTGTAGTCCAGTAATATCTGGGGACCCAAGGTGGGGGAGCCACTGCTATAGAGGGTGCCATAGATTTGAAACTAAAAGCTTATACAGAAGCAAGCCATTACTCAGTAGAACCAGACATGGGGAAAGTTATTTATGGGATATAGTTCACAGAATCACCTAGCCGACATGTCTGGCAGTGGATCCTGGGAGTTATGGTCTGAAAAATGAGTAGTTCTCGCTTCTCGGCCTTTTGGCTAAGATCAAATAATAGTGTGTTGTGTGTGAGTAGTTCCAAGGATTTAGTTGGCCTAACCGCCCCATACAAAAGAGGAGTGACCACTGCCCACAGTGCGAGGTGTGGGATTTGAAGAGCTTATATAAAGTGAGGCACATGGGCCAAAAAGCAGACAGAAATAGTCTGTCTTGCCTCATATCTCAGAAGGTGGCGGACCTGGTGTGGCCATTCCATTCAGCCACAACCGCTGGGCATGTTGGCTAGGAATGAGGAGTGAAGGAGTTCAAAAGGGTCCAGACAGTGACAGGTTCTCCAGCAAGGAGACAGAGACCCAGAGAAGATTTGCCATTCCTTTTTGTTTGTGTCTTTGCGGAAAGCATGGAGATCGTGCGTTTTCTTTCTTACTACCCCAACTCTTGCAAGACTGTAGGTAGGCTAAATTTTGGAGGCGGAAGAGGAGGAGGAAGAAAAGAAGAGGAGGAGGAGAAGGAGGAGGAGAGGAGTATGGCGGCGTAGGGGCAAAATACAAATACTCGCACTAAAAAGGACAGGTTCTCTTTGGCCGGGGTCCAGTTTCCCGGGAAACGGACAGAGAACAGCTTAGCCTTTGAGTGCACTGCAGCTGAGCTTAGATTTTAATGAGCATGGAGGATTTTAAGAAAACAATGTCAAGGCGTTCAGTGAGCCTACACCCTGCAAGCTACTTGGGGCAGAATTTGTGAGTTCTAATCTGTATCTCATTGAGACCAAAGTACTGAGAGAGAGAGAGAGAGAGAGAGAGAGAGAGAGAGACTGCCCTTCACCATTCTTGGAAAAGGTCTACCCCAAATCCCTCCACCAAACCTGGCAAAAAAAATATCTTCCAGTACTACTCTTTTGTGTGATTTTCATCACTCTGATACACACTTTCTTTTGTACATGATAGTGCTGCCAAAAGGAGATGGATTATTAACTGTCTTGAGGCTACTCTTTTGTGTGATTTTCATCACTCTGTTACACACTTTTTTTTGTACATGATAGTGCTAAGATACTGCCAAAAGGAGATGGATTATTAACTGCCTTGAGCTATTGCCAGTGCCTGGTTCAAGTGCAAGGTTATCGGTCCAATAAACCACGGCTTGTGGGAGCAATTTATACCAAGGGTCTTCTCCTCCTCCAGGAGGAGAAAAGCAGACCCTGCCCCTCCACTAATTTTGCTCTTTCTCAACTGAAATCTTGGATCATGACTCCTTGCTAAGATTTCCCCGCTCAATGGGCTGAACCAAACAGCCCATAGGGGCTCCATGAGCAACAAGCTGAAAGGTCACCCTTGGTCCTGCTTTGCACGAGGTGCTCAGAACAAAGGAACAAGTCTCCTCTAAACCTGATCAAGCAAAGGATCAGAGGAAGAGAGGGGGAAAGTTCAAGATCAAAATCTGTTCCAGTTCTGACAAGCCAGGATCACATCTGTTGGGATTTTAGAAGTCATGAGCAGGACTTAAAATCTGCATTCAGGAAGTCCCAATTCTGCGTCAAGAGTGGCTGGATTCTGCAACTGGAAATTGTTAAACATGTCAAGCCATTAGCCCGGACTGCCACAGCCGTAGGGTCTGCCTGATGGCCTCTGACCATCAGGCAGGCCGTAGATATAAGTCCTGTGAGAGGAGACACAGAGCACAGGTGGAGCTGCATAGATAGTTTGCAGACAGGCTATGATTTGTATGTCTGATTGTGCACCAGTTGCACAAACCAGGCATGTGCACAATTGCATGATTAATTGCACAAGGAAGGGGTGTTGGATGGGTGAAACTGCTTCAGGATTTGGTCCACATGTTCTTCTATAGAAAAAAAAAGGTCAAGAACTATATGGAGGAACAGAAGCCTTGAAGCTTCTCACCAATAACTATCTGGACAAGGAGACTAAAGGGTGGACGTGCAAATCTGCAAGTTCTCCAAGCTTTGGGCGACTCACCCCAGTGCAATTTTGCACAAAGAGAGGGTATTGGGTTTTTTTTGGGGGGGGGAACATCACTCACTAATGCAAGAGAATTCTACCAGGAAATTCTTTTACCAACTTTGCCGGCAAGGAGAACCACAATTTCAATTCCTTATTGTTGCCAGAAAGACGGAGAGGAGCAAAGATTCTGATTTACATCGCTGGCCAAGAGAAAAGCCACTGAAGCTCATTGTTCTAAAGAGATGATCAGAAGGTAAGAATGTGCACGAAGGGACAAAAAACAGGCTGTTATTGGAACTGGGATAAGCAAGCATTGAGAGTTCAAGGACCATCTGCCCCTCCACCTGGACCCACTATAGATATTCTCCCAAATGTGAAGTAGTCAGAAGCCAAGTTCTAAAAACACAACAGAATAGTGCATGAGAGGTGGGGCATATATTAAAGGAAGATCACCAGAAAGAATAGTTAATATCTCTTTTTAACTTCTACTATTTGGGGATAGTTCCAAAGGGTAAGAGACGAGGCAAGGATATGGCACACCCCACCATAAGGAAGTTGAATCTTGACTTTCTGGCACCCTGTGGTTGAGCCTTTCCTTGCAAGACCTGGAGGTCTTGCAACCAAGAAGAGTTGGTTTCCAGGTGAAAAACAAAAGCTAGTAAAGCTGCCGTAATGAAGCCAATACCATTTGATTTCTGGCATAAGGACTAGTATTTGGAGTGCTGTACTTATGGCTTATCGTGACCGAGAAAACCTTGACAGGTAGGTAGAACCAGACCATAATACTGTGCTCAGACAGTTGTCTCTTGCCCCTGCGTCAAAAGAGGTTTGATCTCCTGGGACAAGAATGTGAGCACTTTTGATCTTCACCATGAAACCAACCCATCCCTGTGTGGTGCCCACCATAAAAGTCCTTCATTCCCTTTTATTTCTTGGGTTGGCTTCTACATGGCCCAAGAGCGAAAGTTCTCATTGGAAACTGTTCCCCCTGCCAGGCGTCCCCCTGCCATGAATAGCTTTCTGCATTGTACTTATGACCGAACTACGATGGTAAGTTCATCGCTCGGCGTCCTGAATCTTTCTGCCACAGGAACCAAAATGTCAACCCTAAACCCGCCAGGCTCACCCGCTAGCCATTTCCTGCCAATCTGGTCCAATAATTCGGTCATTGGAATTTTTCTCAGTATGACTAAGGATCCAACCCAACCCCCTAGGTGCGTTTGGAGGCCGATCAAGAATCTGAGAGCCCTCTTCTTTGAGTTTCTGCTTTAGAACAGCCCGTAATGAAGGGAGGGAGAGCTTAGCACCTTGCAGTCCAGCATTCACGGACGGATTTTGGCTAATTTTGTCTCTCGGAAGGTCATGAGATGTGCAGGGGCTCTTTCATCCCCAGCAGTCAAGAGCTGCTAAAAGATAAGGAGGAACACAGCTATCAGAAAAATGCCTCCACACTTGTGCCTCTGTGTGTGTGTGTGTGTGTGTGTGTGTGTGTGTGTGTGTGTGTGTGTGTGTGGCTTTGCGTGTGAAGGGAGGAGAGGAATGGGAGGGTGCGAAGCTCCTTTGGTCGTCAGCGCTACGAGTGAGCGTCTTTGTCAATGTCTTCCTTTAGCCATCCAAGTTTAAGGCAGTTCACAACTTACGGTCATTTACAGCTTACATCTCTGTAAATCCAAGAAGGTGTCTGATAGAAAAGGGAAAGAGGAAGAAGGGGGAAAGAAAAGATGGAGGGGGGGGAGAGAGAGAGTGAGACGCCAAGCATCTTAATCCCCCTGTTCATTCATGCTCTCTGTAATGTTCTTTGAGGCGTCTGCTGAGAATCTACCCTTGAAATGAAGGCTGATAAATTAGTCTGGAGGGAAACAAGGCAGATCCAGCTTGTAAAAGGTCATACCAACTTTGTTCTGGGTGAGGGTTTATCTTGACTGCAGCTGTGACAGACAATGGCCCAGACCTAAATGGCAGAAATTTTAAGCTCTGCTTGTGAAATTACTGTGCTGATAAGGTAGAATGGACTTTAGTAAGATCTAAATGGGAAAAAAAGGGAGGCGGGGGGGGGAGAGAAGTTGGAAAATGCAGGTATTTTCCGAACATGATTGAACAGGGATGACACAATAAAATGTGCAATTAAACCAAAGATAATTCTTTACCCGGGCATTATCTCAGAACGAAGGAACATACTGCTGGGCTAATCAGATAAAAAAGGAGAAGAAAAGAAGGTAGGAAGAAAGGCCAGCCTTCTCTCTTCAAAGAATTCAACCGCAGGATTATTGCAAGGCAAAGTATAAGAAGCCACAGCAAAGCAATGATATTCCCTCGAGAGTTAAGAGGCAAAGACACCGTTGTGTCATTCACCATAAATCTCCAGGCCTGTGGAAGAGATATACCGCAGATTTGTCAGACTCGATTTTTCGTACCACTGAATTTTTGCACGAGAAAAGGTGTGGAAGCAAATTTGGAGGAAACTCCTTAGATAAAACATCTAAGAGATTTTGAGGTGTCAAATGCCCTCTCTCAAGAGCTCCAAATTTAGGGCTCTTTCGATCTCTCTTGAAATCTTTCTTTCCTGCCCCCCCGCCCCCAAACACACTTGTTTGGACAGAAAGACAAACTGAACAAATTGCTCCATGAACAGGAAAAAAAAATCTCTCCCACTCGGGGTAGCATTGGTCACCATGATTGGCAAATATGGGTCTAGCTTCTTTTCTTCCTCCCCCTCAGCTTGTTGAGTTATTGTCATTTTGCTTGTTGTTGTTGTTGTTGTTGTTGTTGTTGTTGTTGTTGTTGTTGTTGTTGTTGTTGTCCCAGTGAAAGAAGCAGCAACAATAATGGCAACCTGGTTGTCATTTTGCATTTTCCACCATGTCTCTGGCTTAGCATTGTTTCAGGGTCAAATCCTGCCTTCCAAGGAGGTGGAGGATGAATTACTAAAAAATACTGAGGAGAAAACCTTAAAAACATATTTTGCCCGCCCCCCCCCTTCTTGAGAACTTTGCAGAAAAGCATCTTCTGAGAAACATCACCTCAGCTCTGTTTTTAATAACACCACAGTGACATTTTCACACATAAAAGGCCTGCTATCCTGGACATGGGGAAAGTTACTTTAAAACTAAAAGACAGGGTCCCAGAATCCCTTGTTTGGGATTGCTGCTGGTTATGTGTAAACTGGGGTGTTCTGGAACTTGGTGTTCAAAAATTGTGTGTGTGTGTGTGTGTGTGTGCATGTGCCTGCTTTCAGATCAGAAACACAAAATTAAAAAGAAATCAAGATAAAAGATTTGAGGGACATTACAAGATCATTCCGTTTTTAAAAAGTGTCCCCTTTCTCGGAAGGCACATGCTTTCGAAAAAGGAAGCCAAACAACCATTAAGGCAACTGCACCACCCAGACAGAAGGAGTCGTTAAGGAAAGGGAGTCGTTAGGGGATGGATTTTCTTTTTTTTTACTGCACCCTTTCCTCTCATTACCCTTTCCACTTGAACCTGTGTGTCCTCGTTCATTGTAAACCAATTTAATGGTTATCAGTCTGGATCTTAATTACACCTAACTGGCGTCCACTCAGGGTTTAAAGAGAAACGTCTTGCCTTCTTGTTCTTCAACACCAGAGGATACAAGAAACGGAAGCCTGGAGAAAACTGAGGAGTTACACCAATGAAGCAGAGGCAACACAAAAGCCTGGATAAGCCACAGAGACGAGAAAATGAATCTGTTTTACTTTCTCCCACATTCATCCCCCACCTTTAAAAATCAAGTTTTCTCCATTATCAACACACATGGAGTGGATACCGGTCAACTCTTTAGAAACAAACCAAAATGGCATCGGGACCGATCAGCACTGGCCAAATTCTAAAGTGTAAAAGCAAAAGTGTGCTGCTTATATTCACAGCAAGTAAAGCACTCTCTCGGCAGATTATAATTTAATTATGCAAGATACACATGCACACATACACACACACACACACACACACACCACAACATTTGGGCACTACCGTTTGCTGACTTCAGAAGGATGGAAGGCTGAATGAACCTTGAGCCGGCTGCCTGATTCTATCAGGATCAAATCCAGGGCATGAGCAGAGTCTTAGCTGCAGGACTGCAGTTTAACCAGTTTAAAGGTATCCCTATTCCAAGCGTGGAAAGAACCCCAATAATTAGGGATGTGAAGCAACTCAGATTTGCACAAAGGCAAAACAGCCAGTGAAGAGCTCACTGGCTCAGAGTGACCAAAGCCCTCCAACCTAGGGGGCTCATGAATGAAATGGGAGGGACAGTGGGGAAGCTACCTTGGCCATTAGCCATGCCTATCGGCTGGTCGGTGTTCACCTCTCTTTCTTCTCTCTCCCTGTCCCCCCCTCTCCCCCTTTATGGGAGCATTCATTCAAGGGCACTCATCAAGGTTGCCTGCTTTGCATCCCTAAGAATTTTACTATCCTTTCTGTTTGTTTAAAGCCACCAGATTATGAAGTTAAGGAAAAACAAGGGGGGAAAAGTTGTACTACCAACAACAGAAACCCCTGTTCCACTGTTCTGCTGCATCCTCAACTCTTTGGCGAGAGAAGGAAGAAACGGAGACAGTGCGCAAAGCGGCCTTCTTAGGAAGAGGGACCGTCCAAGGGAAAAAGGGAACAGGCCTCTCTCTCTCTTTTTTTTTTGCAATACTTTTCTGACGAGTGGGGGAAGAAAAGCTATTTTTCAAACCCGGCGGTCACAAATGGGCTATTCTTGGGTTCTTGCTCTCAATTTTGTTTTTAATAGAGATGATAAAATACCGGTTCAGAGGCTGGCATTCATAGATGTCTCTCAAAGATGAAAAGAAAACATTTATTTCCTATTTCTGCTTGTGAATCAGAGTGTTCTATTTTAAGGGAAATGCCCTCTGCCGGATTACTGATGAGTTATTACCCCTTATGGAAATAAATAGAGAAATATCACAGTGGTATTCTTCGTCATTCTTTCACTGGGTGTGCACAGATCTCTCTCTCTCTCTTGTTCAATTGCTTGCACCACCAAAAAGCAAAATCCCATCTCGTTCCTTATATATTCATGTTTCTAACCCCTTCCAAACTTAGTCTTGGACTTTTTGGCAGTGGTGGGCTAAAAGTGACCTCTTAACCTGTCTCTGATAGCAGAACCGAGAGCGAGACAGCAAGAAATACTTTTGCTTTCAACAGTTCGGATGATGTTTTATAAATCCCTTTTCTGAAGCACAGTGCCCCCCCCCCAAACAAAAAAAACCCCAGACTCTATAGCTGTAAAAAGTATGCTGGAAGAGAAGCCACAGATTATAAAGACTTTTTACTAGGCTAGGTGGAAAATAAGACCGGGGTTTACTGGTAGATCTCTGGGTGATTTATAATAGTTTGTGGCTCCCGATTGTTTAACAACAGCAGCAACAAAATTACTTTCTCCACCTCAACCAGTCTTCCGAAATGAAAAAAAATCTTGAGGGGAGCGACAATGGAGACTCCCTCGAAAGGTCTCTGAGCTCACATTCTGTTTTGGTTCTGGAAACAAATTCCGAGGTCCCTTTCGCTGGAGTTTTGTTGTGTCGTTCAATGTGCATAATGTAAAGCTGCTACAACCGTCTGGAAAATGTACAAAGGAGGAATGCACAAGTAATTGGCATCTCATGTGGCTGAGAAGGCCAATTCGAGAGTGGCCATCCCTTCCACGCTGAAGACAAATCCAATCTGACCCCTGTCCAGCTCCCTGGTTTTGCTGGTTTTGGTACAGCCTCTTCGCCTTGGCCTGCTGGACAAGGGTCTCTTCAAATTGGGAGAGGCCACGATGCAGTGCCTGCCTCCAGGCTGAACGCTCAGAGGTCAGGTTTTCCCATCTGTTGAGATCCACTCCTAAGGCCTTCAGATCCCGCTTGCAGATGTCCTTGTATTGCAGCTGTGGTCTCCCTCTGGGGCAATTTCCCTGCACTAATTCTCCATACAGGAGATCCTTTGGAATCTGACCATCAGCCATTCTCATGACATGCCCGAACCAACACAGGCATCACTGTTTCAGTAATGTATACATGTTGACAATTCCAGCTCATTCCAGGACTACTATAATTCTAGAACTACGTATATAAATGCCCCCGATTTGGTATGTTTCCCCACATTTTTAGGTAGACGTTGGACTTGCCTAAAAATCACAATGAATACACACTACCCTTGTTATGGATATTATCATCATTGTCATAATTGTTACCCCACAAAATCCAAAGGAAGCTTAGAGAGCTAGGGGTGCGTGTGCGTGTGCGCGCGTGCGTGTGTAACCGTTGGAATGGAAAGACAAAGACTTGTTTCTTTCAGAAAAAGATAAGGAAACAAAAGGAGCCTTGAGGAAGCATGACGACTACCATGAAGAGAGGGAGGTTTCTCACGTATACGGCGAAAAGCACAAAATTAACAATAT